TGAAAACAACAAGCTAGCACCAATGTGTAACAAAACAGTGTTCCATTACTTTGTTTCTAAATTTTCTTGCCACTAAAGATATCTGTAGGAAAGCAAAAAATGAAGGTAAAATAAATATCTTCCCAATGTTAAAGACTGATAAATTAGGTCCCTATTAAAGATAATGGTATTGACATATTCTTTATCTGGGGTTTTGCAAAACTTCTCATTTCTCCCATCTGCGTGTAAGAGAGCACACTAAACTTTTCATAATAAATTCCCAAAGCTTCGTGTTAGTGTTATAATACAAAAAAGAAGACAACTAATATGCTAGTGGGGTTAGTGTACACAAGCAAAGAAAGAGCTGATAAACAACCACTGTGCCTTGAGGCAGTTTCTCTAGTCGAAAAGCAATGTTTGGTCTGAACTCAACTATACAGATGTAGTGCCAAAATTAAGTAACTCCTGGCTTTAAAGCCCCTGAGAGTCACTAGAAAGCTTCTCCAGGCTTCGGATTACACTGTAATTTATTTTCCAGTGATTCTGTAGTGAGTAAATTGCTTAACTGCCATTAAGGAAATGGAGCTGGTTTCCTGTTCCTGACACAGATTACTCACAAGACCCTGGATAAGTCACAGTGCAGTAGTGGAAAAGATAAAATTATTTTTTGAGTATATACACACCAATACTGGAATATTAATCTGAGGGATAGTGATGGTACCTCTTTTAAGGCTGACATTAGAGAGGTCATAAGTGAAGTATGATACCTGTGATACAAGAAGGATGAGTGAAGGTTAGTGACATCTAAGAGAAGAAATAGATGTTTCCCAGTCTACAAAAAGAAGTTATTGACCCTCTTGAACCATCTATGAAACAATTAAAAGACTTGATTTCTATCTGAAGTACGTACCAACAAAAAGGTAATAATGCAGAAAGCAACAGGAGCTTCTGGCCAAATACTGACCTAAAAGGATGGTACATATTTTTTGCTATGTTATCCATAAGCTAAATTGTTTAATAAATTAAATATTTAAACACTTAAATTTATTTAAATGTTCTATAAGAATTTAAAGCATTTATTCTATGCCTTGAAGTTAGTCATTTGATGCAGAAATTATCTGAAATTATCTGATATCTGGTAAATTGGACCACCTAATAATCAATGTTTCTTCTGGATTTGAAATCTTATGGATCTCCTATCATTGCACTCTACCCATCTCCAACAACTTTGTGTAATGGTACATAAAGTCGTTTTTTAGGTGTTATTACCATATTCTTCGTTTTATAAGCAGACCAAAAAAAAAGTATTCTTGGTATTTATCCCATAATAATCCCATAATATACGGAGAGTATGTGTTTTAAATCTCTTTGTGCCCTCATTAGAAACTATACACTTAGGAGCCAAGGGAACACTACATTAATGGCACCAAGCCCTCAGCACGACGAGGATGTTAAGTACTACGAGCGTAACTAATCTCTTGGATATCTCTAGGGGAAAATCAATGCTGCTCCTTACAGGGTACAGCTGTGAAGTGCCAAAGCAGCAAGACCCCGAAACCCGAGGGGAGAGATGCCCCCACACGCCCGCACCCAGGGCGGAGAGCGCCGCGGCGCTGCTTCAGGGCGGCTCCGAGCCCCCAGCGCGGGCGGGGCCGGGAGCGGTGGCGGCCGCTCCACACCCGCGGTCCCGGCTGTTCCATCCAGCCGTCTGGGGCCTCCCGCTCGGGCAACCGTGCCCTGCAGCAGGGGGTCGCCCCGAGGGACCGCGGGGAGGGCTGCCGGAGCGGCAAGAGCTCCCAATACTGGTCTCCCACGTAGGGTGCGATGAAGCGGCAACATGTAGTCCGAGGGAGATTAAAAGGGACGGCTGGTGAGGGATTCTGGAGCACAGGTTAATTTGTCTGCTGTCCTTCCAGATGCAGGCAGGGACATTGGAAGAAAGACACTAAGGGAAGGTGCTCTGCATCTTCCGTAACTGTTTTAGTGTACTGACAGCAGAGGAAACGCAGCAAAATTGGCTTCCCTAGCTTAAAATCAATTTCTGGAGGTAGAAAGGGAAACGAGGGGAAACTTCAAAAGTTACATGGCCATAGTTAACACAAAAGCCATTGGTAGTACTGAGAATAAAGTCCTTGTTCATGGCTCTTGCAGTGCTAGAAATTGAGATGGGTGGACTTACCAAGAGCAAAAACCATAATGGTCTCAGAGAGCAACTAAATTGAGGGTGGAAATTTCCCTTTTAGGATTTTAGACCACCTGAGACAAACAGCTTCTTGAGGAAAAAGCTGGGCACACATGGAAACGCTCTTTGTTACATGCTGGTTTGCTATGAGAGCCCAGACTTGGAAGTTGTGCAAAGGTGGCCCTTCTGGTATCAGAAGAGCTTGTTAGAGCCTGTAAACTTCTCATAATCCTATTTGTACTCAGCACTTCCTAATTCTCATGTCCTTCCTTTTCTACAGGAACAAATTTAACTTGTCTTTTGAAATCTCATTACCACAAGATTTCTCCTTCCTGTATCAGCCAGGCCTTTCTGGTTGACAAAGAGAGAAAAGAAGTTGTAATGAAAAGCAGGATTATTAAACTGGAAGTTGTTTACACGCAGACTGGTATACCCAAGAGTATGCACTGCAAGTTCCCTGGCTGCTGCTGTACCATCAGGCTCCATATGTGCTGATTGCCCAGATTTTTGGGCTAGTAAGAGATCAGATACAGTCTGGCAGGCGATGAAATGCATTGAGAGCAAAAGGAAGTGGTGAGGTGGGATAAAACTGTAGCATTGCTAATGCAGTAAAGCAAGCAAAATAAGCTTAAAAACACATGCCTCACAGTGTGTAGAAAGCTTAGCTTCAGTCCAGCAGAATGCTATTCTGGTTAATTCATGCAATCATTTTGCTCTTACTTTGTCATGCCAGCTACTAATAACAGAAAGGTTCAAAGTACTTTTTTATGCCTCTGACAAAAGATACTGAAAATAAGTGCAACAAGGGACCCTTCAAGAAGGGATCCTGCTAGCTGACACTCCAGAAATTCCCTCTTATCTTAAGCAAATATATCAGCTATACTGCAGATATTTATCTGACAGTGTTATGTGAGACATATGCGTGACATGGAAGGAAAACATAAGCTCAAGTGTTTTCTGCAGAAAGGACTGTCATGCACAACTGATGGTATTTTTCTGCAACTAGCTCGTGTGCCTTAGTTTGCTGTCCTTTCTGTACACTGAGAATGATATCTAAGGAGGCTGATAATGGGAACATGAAATCAAACAATATAAAACAATTTGATTCCTCAAAAGAATTATGTAGGAAATTTTGGTTCCTTCCAGCCTGACACAACTTATTATTTATAAGGCTAAAAGCTGCTTCCAGGAAGAACTGGAGAAGAGTACGCTTTCAATAACCTAAGAATTATTCTCAGACTGACTGAAACCCATAAGAGGTCAGAGATCATGATGTGAGCAAGGGCAGTCTGCTTTTCTAAGACGAAATGGGAGTTAACTGTGCTGGAAAGAACTCACCAAAAACGAGGAGAAACATGCACATAGAAATTCTCAGATTCTTTTTCAAAGTAGATATATAAAGTAACTGTTTTCTACTAATTAGCAGTGAAGTTAAGCCTGTTTGTTTACCAAAAATTGTAAAGCCAAAAACTGATAGAAAGAACACACTTTCTGTTATATGGATTCAAATTTATTATTATATATACTTTCAATTAAATCAACAAGTACTTGTCCAAAAGAAGTGAGACTATTATTCCTACAGTATACACAGATTGTAGACATTCTCTTTGCTAATTGGAAATCAATGGGGTCTTACTCGTGTATTTAGCCTCCAGTGGCTTTATGATTTCCACAGGATATTTGACAACCAACGAACAATTTATGATTTTACAATTTATGCTGGTGTGTAATGTTTCCATATGGAAAAGATGGAAAGATCTGATCTGTGAAATTCTTCAGGGCTTGCCTTTTATAAAACCCTTGCTTCAAGAAAAATAATGTTCAAGATATGATACTACTTAATTAAGTATGTGCCAGTGAAAATAAATTACATACACAAAGAGGTACTGAGGCAGAATGTCTATTAAGTGATAGCAAAAGCAAGTAACACTATCTTGGCTCATCTTGAAACCATTAAAACTGTAGTGAGCAATATTTTTCAGAAGAGGTCATGTAGATTACTCCAACTCTAAGAAAAAGATTAATCTCTTCAATAAATCATCCTGAAGTTAATTATTTCCAACTGACTTAAAAGATCTATGCTGAAGCAGCAGTTTTTAGTTGCATTTTAAGTGATTCATTCCTTTATACAGTCATTAAATGCATATACGATCAGTTTCTTAGGTGACCAAAATATCAATCAGTGAACGTTTTTGAGTTTATTAGAAGGTCTAGACAGGGTGGACACTTGTCAGTTTGCCCACCAAGGCTTCAGCAAGTATCAAATGAAGTCAACAGTTCATGATCTGTTATGCTAACTGCAGTTTGCAGCATTCTGTATTTATTTGTTACTGTAGAATAAATTTGGAGCAGAGCTAGCTTCAGATTTCAAGGTGGTTTTTTTCCCAGGAAATTACGTTTCAGGGTGAATATAAAAATTTTATCCTTGAAATGAATAGTTGTGACTATTCATTGGGCTGGCTTGCCAGAACTTTTTATAATATCACACAATCTCTCTTAACAGGGAAATCTCTTCCTGTTTTTAAGTTTCACAACAGGATTTGCAATCAGTAGACTGAGACACCTTTTTAGTTTATTATGGGACAGTAAGTGTCAAAGCTGGGGTGGAAAAGGGTTAAAAACTGCCTTTTAGATGGGTCTAAATATTGCACCATGTGAAAATAGTATGAAAAATGACTTGCAGTGCATGAACCCAAGGTTTAAAGTATAAATCCTTTTGAAGAACTGTCTAGTTAGATACCAGCTATATGGATATTCTGAGACAGGACAATAAATAGAATGGAATTCTGGTCTGATTCATTTCAGCTTCCCACTTTCACACCGTAAACTGCAGGAATCTGTATGAAGGCATTGGTGGAACTACATCTGTGAGCACCACAAGTTACAAAGAGACCATGAGAAACCACACTGAAGATGAAAATAGCAGAAGGCTGATCAGAGTTAGGGAGTGACAAGGCATGACCAACTAGAAGAGGACTCTTTATCCTAGGAAACTGATGACTTAGGGAGACAATATGACAGAGGGCTAAAAAAACTGTCATGTCAGGGAGAAGTGGATGAGGAATGATTATTCTTTTCCTACACAAGGAACAGCGGTTGTCAAATAAAATTATGTGGCAGACTGAAAACAAACAGGGAAATGAAGCCCTTTAGCATGATATAGATAAGCCTTAGAATTCACTGCTGCTAGATGTTGAAGATAGCAAAAGTTCACAGGTGTTTGAAAAGTAACTACATAAAATCATGGACTAGAAATCCACCAAGAATTATTAGATACAAAGATAAAGCTACTGGCTTAGAATCTGAGAATGGGAATAGGAAATACCATTACCTTATTGCTTTACATTTATGTGCCTCTGCATTCTTCCTTTATTTCTCCCTTTCTTCCCTAAACTTCCTTATTGGTCATTTCCAGAAAGACAATACTGGGCTAGGTGAATCTTTTACCTGGCCTGACACACTTATTTCTGGAAGCCCTATGTTCAATTCACATTTCTCCTCATTTGCTTTTCTGCTGAAGCACATACACAGTTGAACAGTTAAGAAGTTGAAATTTCAGAAGGTAAAAAGAACAGTATGCCCTTCCCTGTCACAACATATTTAGAACTTTCTCCAAACTGAGGGTTTCAGCTGTAAAAATCTGAACAATTGAAAAAGATGTGGACAGATGAAAAATTGAAATATGTCAATGGCTGCTTTAATCTTTCAATAACACAAATCCAGTCAAAAATCCTGGATGTCCTTAACCAAGGGCTAGGCATGGCCATGTAAACTCTACAGTCCCTCTTAGTCCTATGGCTCCTAATTAGGTCATTTTCAGCCTTACCTACTTCAACCCCGGTCTATGTTCAGTCTCTGCTGGGATCATACTTCAGTTTGCTAAGCCCTGCAATATCGGTGGGTAAACATTGCTCTGGGGTGCAGGGCTCTGGAATGCATTACATTTAGAAGCAGTTAAGGCCTGAGGGACACTGCTGGAAATGTTGGCTTCACTAATGCTGTCAAGAGTGAAGGGGAAGGCAATTAGGCTAAACCTAACACCACACAAAAGTCACAGGGTAGTGACATTACTGACAATTAAAGGAGAGAAAACAGGACTATGAGAGTAAAAATACCCCAGAAAGTCAAGCTCTTTGTCTACCTATACTACAGAATTGTTCTGCTGTGATAAAGTCAGAATAAATTCTGATTTTTCACTGCTCCAGTAAGTGTTTATATATTTACAAAGAAATAACTGTGTTAGTGTTCTTCCTGGTTATGCACCCACATCTTATAATGAAAATAATAGATTATAATGTCTTTGTTGTACTATATTGTTCTATAACTGAGAATTAGATTGTGTTTCATTGTAAGTATTTTCAAAATATACAGATAATTACAGCTTTTACTAACACCACTGAGGCAAATGTGAATTCCCTGGTGGGGTTTTAAGTCTCATCTCAGCATATTTGATGTAGAACAAACATTAAAAGTACTCTAGTATTTTTTGTTGATGCTTTCCTGAATAAATTCTATTAAAAATAAAGATTCTTTTGCTCTTTCATGCAGAAAGTATAGTGAGAACTATTTTAATATTAAAATGACTCATTGAGATGTCAAGGATTAAATTAGAAATATCAACTACCTATCTTTTTCTCATTTCCTTGCAGTTGGTCATAACAATCTGCAGAGAATATATGTGAAGTAAATAATCTCTACTACCTCCATTCCTGGGTTATGATACAATTTGGCAGATTTTTAGCTTACTTGCAAAAACCAATGCTGGGCCATACACATTCAGATTGATACGTGGTCCCCAGCAACCACAGGGCAACAATACAAAAAGAAATTGGTAATTTTCTTCAATAAGTGAAAGAAAACTGCATGCATTATGGAAATGAGAATTTGGTGCTTTATTTGACTGATGAAGGACAGGTCCAGTTCCTTTTCAGCTACTACACAAAGATATTCTACCATATCAAACAATATCTAAAGTAGACATTTTTGAGTTGAAGAAAAGGCAAACGAAACAGAAAGGGGAGAACTAAAGTCTGCAGCAAAATATTGTCTCTAAGGGAAGACTATTTTTTTTCCTTTCACGTAAACACTTGAATAATTACTCATCAGTTCTCCAAACTGGAAATTTGCAAAAAGCTGTTGAGCATGGCTTTCAGTAGTATAAAGAGCAAAAGCTCTTCAGGGTTTCAATTACATCTTTGCAAGAGCTGTAAGAAATGTAAACATGCAGATTGTTCTGCATATATGAAAACACCTTCTTTTACTACTTATTTGTCAAATGGAATAAAGTAGCAGTGACAACCACTGGAAAGTTTTAGATAAATAAAAGACGCTCCGAACTGGGAAAAATACTGTGTTATCAGGTAGCTGCAGCTTTGCTGGGTGAGCTAATTATTCATGTAGAGACATTTTCTAAATGTGTCATTTCAGACAGTAATGGCTTCTAATTCTAGAAAGCCATTTGCCTAGAGCAGTAGCTGCTATGGCTCTAACTTAGCAACAAACCCAGTGCAACCTCCACTATTTTAGCTGAACAAAGGCACTTGGCTCTCACCAAGTATCTCTGTGTCACTAGCACATTTTTATATGCTTCACATGTAGAGCTCTTAACCATAGAATGGCTGGCTTAGAACACTATTAGGTTAATATCAACTTACCCTCCCTGCCCTGGTAGCAACATTTGCAACAGAAACAGGCCAGAATTACCAACTGCTATAAAAACATGCCTGGTTTACAGATAAATTCAGTCCATGCTCAGCTTTGCAGCTCCTGCATACCTGTGTGTTATTCATTCTTATACCATTGCATGCCTTAATACTTCAGCAGCATATGCTATCCAAGGAAGTCTTTGCAATCTACTGTTCACAAAAGCACCTTTCTTTAAGCTCAGATTAACTTCCTCTGAACATACAGTGGATTTTAAACCTAGGCTTCATAATAAGCATGTCTGCACACATTTTCTACATGGAGGTGAATGCAACCCCAAGTTGAAGTGAAGCAAAAAGGATAAAGATGGCATTCTGTGGAAACTCCTTCTCTGAACTCTGTCACCAAAGTCCATCCTCTTTGCCCCTGTCCCATACCAAAAGAGAGCCTTTTGAAGACAGAGGTGACATCTGCTTTCTCTCAGTCCTCAGGCACCTCTCCTGACTACTATGAACTTTCAAAGATGATTGTGAGCAGCCCTAGTCACGGTGTGCACCAGCTCTCTCAGCACTTACGGATGCATCCCACAAGGGCCCATGGACTTGTGGATGTCAAGTTTGCTTAGGTGTTCTCTAACCCTATCCTCTTTGACCAAGGGAAAGCCTTCCAACACTCCTTTACCCGGTCTCCTAGGTCAGAATTCCTGAGGGCTGGTCTTGTCAGTGAAGACTGATGCAAAGAAGGTATTCAGTAACTCTGCCTTCTCTGCATCCTCTGTTAACAGGGTTTCCCTTCCATCTAGTAATGGGCTCACATTATGCTTAGTTTTCTTTTTGTTATTGTTGCATTTGAAAAAGCCCTTTTTGTTGTCCTTGATATCCTTGGCCAGATTTAATTCCAGGTGGACTTGGCCTTCCTTGTCTCATTTCTACTTACTCTGACAACGTCTCTATATTAATTCTAAGTGGCCTGACCCTGCTTCCATCTCTTGTGTATTTCCTATTTACACTTGAGTAATGACAGGAGCTCTTTGTTCATCCACACAGGTCTCTTGCCCCCTTTGCCCAATTTCTTGCTCATTGGGATGCATTGTTCTTGAGCCTGGAGGAAGTGATCCTTGAATATTGACCAGCTCTCTTGGACACCCCTTCTCTGCAGGCCCATTCTTATGGGATTCCTCCAAGAAGATCCCTGAAGAGGCTAAAGTTAGCTCTCCTGGAGTCCATGGTTGCAATCTTACTCTCTGTCCTGCTTCCTCCTCTCCCAGTACTGAACTCCACAATCTCATGGTCATGGTCCACCTGTTACGACCCGCCCCAGGAAAAGGGGAGGGGGGATAACCCAGGTTTTTATCAATAATTCCCTTGGGTGGATTAGAGGGAAAAGACACTGAATAATCGGTGTCTGAAAACATATATTGGTAAGGTTTATTTTAACAATTTTGTATCAACAGGTATGCTAGCATTTTGGGTGTTGTCATATAACAATGTGACATAGGGATAACCTTTGCAGGGGGAGAAAATGCATAGGGGAGAGAAAGACAGGATAAGAGTAAGGGAGAGTAAGGAAAAAGAAAAGATGAGAGTGGAAAAAACACATATAGTCACCGCCCACGGGGTCCAGCGATGACACTTGGTAGTTGCCGCTTCCATGTCTGTCAGTCGAAGTGGTGACCTTGATCTGCTGGGGGTGAAGGAGGGAAGCCCCCACACTCCAAGAAGTTATGAGTTATTATATCCATGGCCAGTGTCACGAGCCATGCCTCGAGCCTCCAACCTCTCCCTGGGCCTGCGCAGAGTTTCTGTGTCTGGCCTGGTTCCCACCTTTCAAGACTGGCAGAGGGGGGAGATGGGCTTTGATGGGCCATCAGAGGTCCTGCCTTTTCAGGGCTTGACACCTTCAGCACTGGAGGGAGGGATGGGCCCAACTGCCCATCAGAGGTATAATGCAAAAGTCAAAAGCCTGCAAACTTGGCTCTTCACGGGAGGGAGGGACGGGCCCAACTGCCCATCAGAGGTATAATGCAAAAGTCAAAAGCCTGCAAACTTGGCTCTTCACGGGAGGGAGGGACGGGCCCAACTGCCCATCAGAGGTACAATGCAAAGGTCAAAATCCTGCAAGAGTCTCCTAGAATGCATAAATCATCAACCATTTCAGTCTCTGACACCACCATAGCCAAGGCTGCCCCCAACTTCATATCTACAGCAAGGCCTTCTCTATGTTTGCTAGTATGAGGTGAAGAGGCACACCATTCCTTGTGGGATCTTACACTGCCTGTGACAGGAAGTTGTCATCGATGCTTTCCAGAAACCTCCTGGACTGCTTGTGTTTCCCTGTGTAGCTTCTCCTTGCAGATGTCAGGGTGGTTGAACTCTCCCAGAAGAACCAGTGCCTGTGACTTTGAGACTGCTTCCAGATGCCTTTAGAAGGCCTCATCCACTTCCTCCTCCTGCTCAGGTGGCCCTTAGCAAACATCCACAACTGTGTCACCCTTACTAGTCTACTCTTTTATCCTAATCCATAAGCTCTTTCTTTTATATAAAAAACCCACCAGTACTGTGTAGGTTTTTCTACGTATGAAAACCAGAAGAACATTCAAAATGCATTTCTTCTAGCAACCTTCCCTGAAGGGAAATCAGGAAAGCATAATGCTTTTGCATAGACACTTCAAGCATACTTATTAAAGTGCCTTATTAAACTCGCAAGCATAATGCTTTGCCACATATTTAAAAATGGGTTTCTGACACAGTAGTCTGAGATGCTCCATGGGCTTTACTGAGATTCTTATGATTTTATAATTCTAAAATTATTGTCCTGTGTTTATGAAAAGTTTGTGGGATACATACTTCATGTTGGGGGAAAACATTCCGTATTAGGCAATTGCTATTCCGAAAGAGAGATGCTCTGACAGCAGGAAGATTTTCTTGCTTTACTGAAACCAAGTTATTCAGAACTTCCTCTTCTGTTATTCTATATAAAGTGAACAACTTGCTGATATCAGCCAGTAACTCTTTTATTCCCCTTTCTGCTATAGAAATTAAGATTTAAAGTAATTTCACATTGTCTAAGGATACTAATTTAAAGAAACATTTCTTCCTCTAATTTTCTGTAATTTAATTCTACAAATTAAAAAGTGGGCAGACCATTGAGATATTTAAGAGACTATCAAGGGAAAAATGGAGAGGACAACTGTATGGGTTCTAGTGAGGGAATTATAGACAAAATCATATTTAAAGCTACAATGGGGTCTTCTCTTGAGGAGTAACCTGATGAACACAAAGTAAGAGAAAAGCTACTACGACATATTACTTTTAACATTAAAAGTTTGTTATTTATCCAGGCAGTATCAGCCTTCATACAGCATGGGGTGGGGTGGACAGGCAAAGTGTGCAGCCTCTAGGAGCTAAGAAATTGGCACCAATGACACTCTTACCTGGCCACATGCCTCTACCACAGCTGCAGTTCTGTGTTGTCCCTCTGATTTCCATAGCAGTTCATACATACTGGAAGCAGGGCCTCAAAAAAACCAAATACCAATTTCAGAGAGTGCAAGTCCAGGTAAGAACAAAGGAATGAGTTGTGTGCCACTCCAAAATGCATATCAGCAATGTTCTTAGGTGACTCTGTAAATGGACTTTAGGAATAACATAAATAACAGAATATAATGAAGAAGCAACTGCGTCAAAACAGTGCTAGGAAAGATCTGAGAAAATACTCTTCAGGTATATCCTCTAGATATTCTCTAGACTTGTACCACAGTAGATAGAATGAGATGAAACAGTGAAAACACAAAGTAACACAATGAAATAAATTCCCACTAGCTGCATATCAGGACACTTGTAAAAATACTATACTTCTAAATCCTAGGTTACAGGTTCATCAAATAAATGTAAATGTAAAGTCCTGAATGTAAAAGAGAGAATACTGGGTTTTTTTCTAAATTGTCATTAGCATTCTGTAGTGACAGCACCTTTGTTGAGATCAGCAGGAGTTACAGTACATTCTGTACATACTGTAACAGGATCCAGATAGTTGCTATTAAAAAGTCATAGATATAAAGTCTAAAATGGAAAGAGAAGGCTATTATGATTTGTATAAATCAAAAGGTATAAATTCCAAGTACTGTACTAATTCCATTGTATAAATTTAATAAGTTAAAGAAAAAGAACACAAGGAAAGTAGTAGTCAGCATGATTACAAATGAAATTATTTAATTTTATTTGGAACAATGTGAAAAATTGTATGTATTTCTATACTAGATGGAATTTGTAGGCTTGTTCAGGAAAAGTATAAATATTTTGCTCTTTTTGTCTGTTGAGAATACTGACCAATTTCTCTTCTGAGACTAATCCAAAAAATATGAGCAACAAGTATTTTTTTCAATTGGGTCTGGCCAATTTACATCTGGTATCTTTACAAGCCTGTGTTATTACTAAAGCAGCCTTCTCAGAAATTCTCAGATTCCTGGGAAGCTCCAAAGGACTGGAAAAAAATATAGACTGTTTGAAGACTGTGGTTAAAAAAAAAAATAATGGAGTAATTTAGGAACTTTAGGCCTGCCAACCTGACAATCCATCCTTAGCCATCCATTTATCTAGTTGAAAACTATTTATCCAATGTAATAACTAGTGGAAATGATACTGAACATTTTTGCGTCACAGTAATGTCCATCATTCTGATGTGTAGAAAATAGATCCACTTGTACTAGTTTTTGCTTTGCTCTTTAGTTGTTAGAAGTTAAAATGTGGCATAATGTTTAATAAGAAAACATCTTATGCGCTGACATGCATTTTTGACCGATAACTGGGACAGCATTCAGGGAACAGAATGCAGGTGCTCACAGTCATGGTTTACTGAACATAAATTCCAGTGATGCTTAAATCCCTTGGTCTGCCAATGCAAACCTTGGACAAATGAACGGAAAAAAACAGAGGATAGGACAATTTTACTTTGCTTTGGTGCATTCCCTTACTAGAATGAACAGTATCCGAAATCAGAAGTTCTAAAGATGTTGATAAATTGATGAGCATTTAGAGAAGAGACAGAAAATTACTAAAGAACTGAAAAACATGCCTTACTGACAGACCACAGGAGCTCACTGTGTTTAGTTATCAGGCTATTTCTCCTAGCAGTAGTAAGTTATTATGCTGTCAGCCAGTTCAGGGAGCTGATCTGGCTGAAAGCTGACCTGCCTTTTCCTGTTTGCTTATTTAAGGTTTTCATCTGTACCAGGTCCCTTAACTGGTCCACCCCATGGCCACATAAGCAGTGCCAACACAAAACTGGTTACAGGGACAAGTGGTAGGGAACTGAAGGACAAGACAGGACAGTTCATCCCCAGATCTAGACCAACTGAACTGCATCTGTACATATCCTCCTACAGAAGGTTCTCTACAGCCTCATGTTGTAAGTGAAAAAGACATTACAGACTCTTCTGGGTGGAAGCCAAAGCTGGTGACATTCACACCAGAATAATTAATCAGGCATTGTGATGTCTTCTTTTGCACAAGCATTATCATCCATGAGATTAGATGACAGTCTAGAAGATTTCACTGCCTGATGTATAGACATTGCTGGGGGAAGCCCTGCAGTGTATGGTATGCTGAACAGCAGACCACGTGATCTGGATGTTTCTGTCCTCAAAACCTAGGAGGCGATGTGTTGAAAAACATCCAATCTGGTAATCGTCAAGCTGAAATTCTTCTTCCAGAAACAGAAACATTATGGCATTTGTATACATAGACTCTTCCTCTAACATTTTCTAAAGAAATTGGACTGTTTGGGCCAGTTACCCACAGCTGAGTGCTCTTCAGCCTCTAACATGACACAAACAAGTCCAGGTGGATAAATATGCTAATAAAAAGTAATAAAGCCATTGCTCTCACCGACAACAAAAATTTGCCTTTACCCAGTGTTTTTGTAGTTTATTCAGCACTTTTCATGGTTTATTTAGACCACAAAATTTTGAAGAAATGTAAAACTTTTTAACTGGAAATAAGCTATTAGACAGTCTACTGGAAACAGCTAAATCTTTCTCATATTCCAACCGTACCTTGAGACAGCAGATAAAGTGCAGACTGTGAAAGCAAACCCTGGAAATAAGTGGGTCAGAAGTCTTGTGGAGAAGTGCCAGTTTGTGGTTGTTTGGCTGCACAGAGCTTGCCAGAATACAAATGCTGCCCCTTTATTCAGACAAGGCACCAGCAGCAAGACCATGCTGGCTCAGGGACTACTGACCTACCTTGGTCATGGCCAGGAAGGAAACAAGGCAGAAGGGGCAGCTGTGGTCAGGGCCAGTGGGTCATCCTGGGGCCTGGGACCCAGCAGCCCACCCAGCTTGGTTCTGACTGCACAAGGGACCATGGCAGGAAGGGATTGCCATGGAGCACTTGTGAGTTACTGCAAGACCTCCTAGTGCTTGCAGCTTTCTGAAATACTCATGCCTTGAGCTGTCAGCTATAGGAAGATGTGGAAGTGACTTTTATAACGTGGGGAAAATTAGGAGTGTTTGTACAAGACTAAAAATTTGGGAAAAAAATGCATAATCTGGATCCTTTACTAAAAAAGAAAAAAAAAAAGTAAAAAAAAAAGTCACATTCCTGGAAGAGTCTCTGCCCTTTTAGAGGGAAAAAACTTTAACTTCAGGCTTCTA